AAGCAAGGCAAAAGTCCTACACAAGAACAGAAAAGCCCAAAAAGGGAATATCCCAAAAGCTATTATACCCAGGTTTCCCATGTAACCTCTACTGAAATAATTTGGAGAGCAGTCAGGAAGGTAGTGAAAGTTTTAGATCCTAAAAGATCAAGGAAACCACCATCCATGGAAGATGGTTTAACGGTCCAAGTACTCAATTCACCATGAATAATGAAGGCGACTTCAGAATGGCGAAGTTGAGACTTGAATATTGGCAACGAGTCTTGACAGACATCCAAGAACAACAGAAAATTATTCAGAAGAGCTTCACAGACCTAGAGAGAGTCTGCATGTATTTCTGACATCGAGGTGAAAGAAATACTTAAAGGATGGATTGCTTAAATTTCTGGAAGGGGAACTACGTACACATTTGTTGAAACTTCCTCGCCCCAATAACAAACATCAACAAGAGAGCAAAAGGTAAAATGTGTAGCTTACATAAGAAGACTATTCATTAGCAGTGGTTATGAACATCATCTATGTTACTACCCGTGTCCAGTGGCGGATCTAGGTAGTGACGAGCTAAGGAAGCCGCCCTAGCTGGATCCGCCGGAAGCCATTTTTTTTTCTGACAATAGATTAACGTTTTAGGTTATATTACTGATAATTCTTTCTTCTTCCATATTCTCCTTCTAACTGAAGTGGTTAGAGCTTATATTTACATTCTGCAAGTCCCGATTTCGATTCTCTTCACAGCCAATTCATTGTGCAATTTTTTTAGTTTACAACAACTACCAAAATTAATGCAATAGGAAAGAGTTGAATGAGATTCGAACCTTGAACCCCTATTATAATCATTGAAAGCCTGACCACTGTGGCATCTATTGCTTTTGGCACTTAATTCAACAAAAAAATATATATTACATTTATTGAGTTTAATAAAATTATAAAGATTCAAAATCATGCTATTTCTCTAAATTATACGATACTTGGCAACAATGTCATTTCGTGAATATACGGTTTATTTTTATAACGAAATTATATATGTTCAATATTTTAGGCCTTGTTTATTTTTCCTTTTTTTTTTTCAAAATGCATTTTTATCTATCTTATTTTTTACCATACATTCTTCAATATAATACTATTACACGCAAATTCAAAACCTTTGTCTTATTTTTGACCTCACGTTCTCCATGAAATCATTATTTCAAAATGCATTTTTTTGTTAAAAAAAAAAAGATATTAAACGGACTCTTAATACTTTATTGCGGCTGACGGTCGACAATCAACGACCGTCTGTGCTGACTCAAAATTCTAAATTCGCCACTGCTCATCTCAATTAGTCAAAAATCAAAAGTTGACATTTAAGATGGATAAAATAAAATTTTGAGGATGTACTCATTTATTAAATGAAGTTAAGGACTGAAGAACTTGATTTGCAATTGTTAGTGTAGTGGAGGTCATGTGGCAATTATAAAAACTATTAACCCATCTCCATATCACACACACAAAGCTGAAGGAAATGGGCAGAGAGGAAAAAACTGAGAAAGAAGAAAGAAAAGGAGAAAAAGGAAGAAGAAAAGGAAGGAAAAAAGAGGAAAGAAGATAGGTTTGGCTATTCAAATTTCATTCTTCAATTTGCCTAATTTCTCCAAGAGATAAAGTATAATTTATGCCTAATTTTTAGGCTTTGATTTGTTGGTGTAATTTTCAGAGTAACAGAAATTAGTGTCATTGTTAGTTGAAGTTCCTTGGTTGGGTACTTTCCATTTACAGTAAGGTAAGAAAGGGTAATTACCACAAAACGTCTCTACCTTTTATGATTTTTGTGGAAAACGTCCCTACCTTTCGTTTTTTGGCGCATTTCATTCCTATCTTTACCTTTTCTTGTGGAAAACATCATTTTCATCATTTTTCTCAATAAAAAGTTATAAAATGACTAATATACCCTTCTATTTAAATTAAAAAATAAAGAACTAATTGCAATTATAGTTCCAATTTTTAAAAAAGTTCAAAAGCGGAGGTGGAGGTGGAGAATTTTTTTATTTTTTTATTTGGAATTACGATTGCATTTAGTTCTTTAGTTTTTTATTTAAATAGAAGGGTATATTAGTTATTTTATAGCTTTTTATTGAGAAAAATAATAAATAATATACCCTTCTATTTAAATAAAAAAATAAAAAACTAATTGCAATCATAGTTCCAATTTTTAAAAAAGTTCAAAAGAAGAGGTGGAGGTGGAGAATTTTTTTATTTTTTTATTTGGAATTACGATTATATTTAGTTCTTTATTTTTTTTATTTAAATTGAAGGGTATATTAGTCATTTTATAGCCTTTTATTGAGAAAAATGATGAAAATGATGTTTTCCACAAGAAAAGGTAAAGATAGAGATGAAATGCGCCAAAAGACGAAAGGTAGAGACGTTTTTCACAAAAATCATGAAAGGTAGGGACGTTTTGTGCTAATAACCTAGTAAGAAATATCAAGTTTGGGCAAACCCTAGTTTTATTTGGATTGTTGAATAAGTATTGTTAGTGGAAATGGTTATGGTGATGAAATACTCACATGAAAGCATGAATTTATGGAGCAACATCAAATTAAGTTGGCTGAGTTGTTTGTGCTAATTTTCACCAGATTGAAAGGGGTAATTATTTTTATGCTTTGGATGAAGGTCATTTTGATGAATTAGTCATTAGTAAAGAGACTAAAATGTGGAATTAGCTCCAATTGGTTAAAGGAAAATTTGAGAAATTTAATCAATTAGCGAAAAATTTAGTTTAAGCATTGTAGCATTAGATATTAAAGGTCTCTTGATTTGAATATTTCAAGTGGTAATGAAGAGATTGAAAAAGCTTACCAACTATCATAGCCTGTAACTTGTATTGAGTGAGTAGAAAAGCTTATTTTTCAGAATTAAGTATTTATTAAATTTATATTACATTAGAAAGTTAATTATTTCATATGTTGGTTTGACAACATCATTTTCAAAATAAAATGGATTTTATAGTCAATTCCTTTTAAAGTTAAATTCAGTTCAATTTATCCATTTCGTTGGCTGTTATATCAGTATTATATATTGTATCATATCTAAAGTTATTTTTTAAACTACCAGAAAGTACCCAGAAGATTTTACCCTAGTCTACACTTGTATGAATGTGTCACCATAGAATATGACCCCATATAGGAATGTCAAAGGGGCCGAGTCGTGGGTGGCTCAGGCTTGTCACCGACCAAGGGTGGGAACCAACGAGCCCAGCATTCAAGCTCGCGAGCGGCTTGTGGACCGAGTTCACTAGCCGAGCTCGCCCCTTGAGCATGAGCCCAGCTCGGCTCGTTATTAACAAGCTACGAGCTCGGCTCATGCTCGTGTGTTTGCCATCTCTAACCCCATATGGCTATTTTGTCCGCTCTGCATTGGAGTAAATGTGTTTCTACAATGTATGATTACTTATGGTGATTATAGCCTTTGGGTAGCTCTACGTGAGTATGGCCAGAATCTCAGAATTTCAAAATTATAGAATTTAATAGCTTTCCCATGTATAATGATATTAATCGATACATGAGTAAGGTTATTTCTGATACCTTTTTTGGTGTGATTTTTCAGTAACATACCGCATATCAAATTTCAAATTACAGAATTTAGTTTATTCAGTTTAAAGAATAAAGATTTTAGCTTATAGTATGGTGAAATGATATTTCTACTCATAGTATAGATATTAGATTCATTATATCCGTTATATCTTATAGTTGTTCATTCAAAATAAAGAATAAAGAGTTTTATGATTCCAATATAATTTAATCCTAAAAGAATTTTCAAATTTCAAACTTTCTTAAAGTTGTAAAGGCATATGTGTTTTTAGAAAGTTTGCATAAATGGACAAGTATACTTATTTGCAAAATATTCACTAATTGAGTTACAAGCTCATATATTTTGTCACCCTTTTTTATCAAATAATAGCTAAGTTGAACAACATTGAAGCTTGTTAATCTACCAGGTTGAGCCACACATAGTCAATAGTTGTATGACTCATTTTATCAGTTTATATAATTTATATTTTTGAGATAAATGCATCTTTTGTCGAAAAATATATCCATATCATGGGTTTGCTGCATTTTTATATATGTCGTGCATTTGAAGTCTTATGATTTGTGTAAGAGTGTAAATTTCATTCTAGTGCACTTTATTTTGAATAGTTTATGTTTTGAAGGGCTAGTGAACCCTAGAGTATATGTACAAATTTGAGAATTTTTTTTTTTTTTTTTTTTTTTTTAACGAGGTGTCCCAACTTGAGCCAGACTATATCCTCATCCCTGAACCTCCGACCCCTCAGCAGCTTAGGAAGGTAAATCGCGGGATGTGCCCTTATTGGTTCCCAGGTTCCCACACGACTTTTACTCCTTTCCCAAAGGGAGCCTCTTCACTGCCTTACAGCAACTTGCCTTCCAAGATAAATCTTGCCTTCCAAGTTGTGCCTTCCAGGAATCGAACTCCCCACGCTCAGTTCCAGAGCCCCCCAATGTGATTGTTCCGCCAACTTGGATGTGCCCCGGGGGCTTACAAATTTGAGAAAATTGATTATTGATAAGGTAGTTTTAGTCCATAATTCAAGGAAACTCTGTCAAAATTATTTTAAAATTTCGTCACAGCCAAAACAGGTCAAGTTTGCCTGCTGGTGGGTACAGCACTTAGCTGGTATCTATTCGGCATGTATCGAGTTCATTAGGGCGATTCGGGACTGGTCATTTCAATCTATTTGGCATTAACCCCACAGACTATTGTTCATCACCACTTCTAATGAATAGCATTACTAGTACACTAGACAGCTTAATACATAAAATATTTAAACGGTAAACCATATTTGTGATAAGGCTTAGATTGTTGCTGCAACTTTAAACCACTCAAAACCTCTAATTGTTACCCCTTTCAAATAATGTTTCTGCATACTAGCAGCATAAAAGAAGTGCATTACTAGGTAAAACAAGCAACAAAAGCGATACAGTGGCGAAAAACTAAATTACCATAGAAGTGAACTCCTTAGTCCCTGCTTGAACAACACTTGCAGCTGACTGAGCAGCCGATGCAGCAACCACAGATAACCTACCAAAACCCTATACACAGACGACACAGCATTAGCAACAAGACATATCAATATCAACAGAATAAAACATCTAAAATATTAACATTTGCCCGGAGATACCTGAGTAACTGTGGAAAGAACATCCGGCTCAGAACTGTTTCTAGGCATGGCCGGACTCGAGCCAAATCCGACATACTTCCCACCTTGGGAGGGTGAGAGGCCCTCGGGCCGGGACTCGTTCTCTGCCATCTTCCTTGCAAAGAAGCCCTCCTTATTGGCAGCTGAAGCCTCCAATTGGGCTTGAGAATATATGTTATTAGCGGACCTCGACCTTCCTGGGGCACCGCCTGCACTTCCCCCGCCCCTAAAGTCCCCCACGGTATTGTTCCTCCTAATATTATTAGAATTATTACTATTGAATCCTCCGTCATCATAACTATCCCAATTATCCCATCCCCCATTATTCCCAAAACTATCATTCCTACCACCATTAACACCACCACTCAATGGCGGTTTATTTTTGTTTGTAACATTGCTATTGGTAGTTGGTTTCAAAGTTTCTTTTACTATAGGGGGATCGCACCAGGGCTTTCCCTTGGCAAGGGCCTGGATGCGATCGCGATAAACGGAGGCGGCATTGGTATTATACTTCGTAACAATTTCAGTTTCCTTGGGGATTCCGTACTGGGCCAGAAATTGATTTAATTTATCATTTCCTCCGAGTTCCATTTTCTTGAGCTGGATCTCCGACCACGTATCCATAGTGACCGATCGGACGAACGAGATATGAACACCAAGGCCACGGTGCTTGCCGGAGCATTCAAGGCACATGAAAACGCCGTAGGATACGGAGGCCCACTGGGGATTCTTCTGCGAGCAGTCCACACAGATCTTGTTGCCCAGCTGCGATTGGAGCTCCTGGAGCCGACGCGAAGCCGCCATTTCGTGATGGATCGTTTTATTGGTCCGGTTATGGTTCCGATTCCCGTTTAATGGGTGTGTTGTCTGATGATCTGGGTGGGTTATTGGATCGGATCTGGAAGGTAGCAGTGATTAGGGGATGATAGCTAATTTGTATGGTCCATGGGGTGATTTGTATGGGCAAGTTGGCACGAGAGAATGAAGAAATTTAGAAGGAAGAGAGTGTGCAATTCCACGTTCTGCAATATATGTATATGGGGGATTTTTACTTCAAGGGATAATAGCATATTTCGTCCCAACCTTTTGAAAATGTATAGGAAATCCCCCAACTTTTAAACTGCACCAAACGTTTCCACATTTGAGTGAATAGACATGGATGTCCCTAGCGACAGAATCCGTTCAACCGTTAATGTTGCATAAAAAAATAAAATTATCTTCCTTTTAAATAAATAAAAAATAAAAAACAACAAAAATTAAAACGAGAAATAAAAAGTAAAGAAATATATTCGAAAAATAAAGAATAACAAAGAGGTCATCTTCTTCCCTCACCGTCAATCACCAAAAGCAATCGCCACCTATCTCACGAGCTAATCATCTTCTTTCACCCAACCCTTCTTTCCTAACCATGGGCTATAGGGATACATTTTTTATCTCTATTGGTCTATCCTAATAAATACTTGTTATTCCATCTAAACATGAGTTCACTTGTTGCTCTCAACGAAATTCGTAAATCATTCAACTATTGACCATATAATTTAAAATGGTAAAATCAATAACAAAGTATTTAGTCAAAAAATGATAATATTCGAAGTAAAAAATTGAGACTTGAATTATAGTTTCAAAAATTGCAAGTTTCATCGTCTTCCTTGTAATTGAAAGTTTTGCTAAAGTTATTCAAACATATAAGAGTTGAGCCCGACATTACCGATATAGAGAAAATAGAAGAAAGGAGAAGGTTGTAGAATCTTCAAAATTTTCAATTATTCGTCTTCTTCAAATCATCAGACCTTTAAGAACTTTGAGGTACAATCAAGTGCCCCCCTTGAGTGTGAAATTATGCTCCGATGTTGCTAACAATAAATCGAGTATAACTTCTTAGATATAACTCTTACTTGAGATTCATAAAATGTGTTTCTCCTAATTCAATTATCATGGTATGTCCGCAAAACTTGGCACTCTACTTTCCACAAAAGCTATGTGTTTTGGTTCTTCTATTCACTTCAATTTTAGCTTTTCGAGTCTAACCTTCAATGTCACTTTAAGACACCTCATTTTTTCTCTTTTTTCTCTTCTTTCTTGTCAATGTACCTCAAGCTTGGGAGTTTTTCTCCAAAACAATGGAAACACATTGCCGATCAATAAAATCGAAGTCGAAAACGCAACTAATATTCCTTTAACTATCTACATAAGTGTAGATTCTATACCTATCAAATCACGTCTCATTCGATCAGGTTCACTTTAGCATATTCAATTCCATTTGTTCCATGTCTTGCTTTCTTCTCTCATAATTCACGATATGTATCATTTGATACAATTTTCAGTCGTATCATAATAAAGTTTCCTTTCGGTATTATTTTTCAAACTTCAATATGGGTTTGCTATATCTAGCATGTCTTAGACCATCAAAAATGTTTCAAATGTTACATCATCTTAATTTTTATCAATGAATTTATTTATTTAAAAAAATTTAAGCTACCTTACTTATAAGTGAGCTTTGCCAAATATGTTACTCAATCTTGAGTTAACTTTGACCAAAGAATTGCGTCACTTATTGCACAAGGTGTTTAAATGCATTAGCAAAGAACATTTTTCTGAGTTAGAAGAAAAATAATACTAGCTAACATCACTGGTGCTACCACATCAATTTAGATAGTGCTAAGTAATATATTCAATGAAAAGTAATTTATTTAATTATAACTCTCATTTAATGTCACATTAATGCTATATAGACTGATATTTTAACACCAGTGGTACTATATAATATTACTCATTAGAAGAATTGTTGGGATCATTAATGAGCCCTTGTTTTCATGTCACCAACTAAACAATTTGTTTTTATATTTTTACATTTTTTTTTTTAGTTTCTAAATAACCAAAATCTTGATGGTGAAGGGTGGAAGGTTGTTGAGGTATTTATAGTATTTGCATCCATTCACCGATTATCATTAAAATGTTTGTCCTCATTCACCGAATTATTTACTTATAATCCATTTTAATCCACATGCTTCTTTGGCTTTTTCATTCACCTAATAATCTGTCTCATTAATTCTTTCCCAGTCCTCTTCTATATACTGCTTTCATTTTCTAAACTCAGCCCACTTAAACTCTCTCTCTCTCTCTCTCTCTCTCTCTCTCTCTGTGGCTATATATACATATATATGCAGTCAGCCTGACGGTGGTAGAGGATGTTTAGGTTGATCACAGGAATAGCAGGCCCCAGTGGGTTTGGATCAGCATCAACTGCTGAACAAGTCACTCAAGGGATTGATGCCACCAATCTCACTGTTCTTATCACAGGTTAGATATATTTCATATTTATGTGTATACATGGAGAAAAACACTCACATTTACTTAAATAAGATCTGCAGATTTTAAATTAGAAAATAAAAATCTGATTGTATATCATCATCTTGGTTCCGGGATCAAGATTGCAAACGTCTTGAGTTTAATTAATTCTCGTTTTCATTAATGACAGTTCAAGACATTGGAATTTCTTGTCGTGTTCAATGATTTAGCCCCCGTTTGATTTAGTTAAAAGTCAGATTTTTAATTGATTTTGATAAAAGTTGCTGAAATTTGAAAAGTTGTGATTCCTTTAACTTAATTTTTAGCAAAATCTTAAGCCATACCAAACAGGGACTTAATCTTTTTACATGAATTTTACAACTTATTTTGTATAGCAATTTTTGTGTCATAATATAGTATAACTGGCAGATGGTGGATAGTAGATAGATAATTTATTTTTGAGTTAAATTTTTTTTTTATAATTTTTAAAAATGTGATAAAAGTAATTAACTTTTGGGAAAAATGAGTTTTTGAACAAATGTGTGGTTAAAAAATTTTGGACTTGCGTGAAAAATATTTTATTATAAAAATGGGTGGTTAAAAATGAGTTTTGAAAGAATGGAGTTAGGGGCAAAATCATATGCAGCATGGGTTTGAAACTACACCTCACCGAAAAACTTAAATGCACCGCCGAATTAATTCCCATTAAAGAGTTCAACTTTTTCTCTCACCTTTTGGCTCACAATTTCCTATTTTCTCTATATTGCCTTGCACATGAACCGGTGGTCCGGTGAGGTCGGACAGTTCAACCAGATTTAGCGCAACACGATTTAGCCCAATATGATAAACATGCTTACATTATATTGGACCTACTGCAATAACTACACATATTAATCAATTCTTATATTAAAACGGTGTATTCAATTGGGACTTTTGAAATTTTTAATGGGTGGATTTATATTTTAAGTGATGATTTTTGTAGATTTTATGAATTTTTCATATATTTAAATAAAATTAGTCGAAATCTTTCGTAGGCTTTTATAAACTTTCATTTTAAAACTTTTATAGATTTCTAAAGACTTTTTAAAAGCTTTCATTTGAAGTAGAATTCAGGTGAATCCAGTACAGTAATGTGAAATTATCACATACAAGATGGTAGTTTCAACAAGAACCTTGATATGTGTACACTATGATGTACACTTTAATTTACATTTTATCACATGTCATTATTCTATTGGGCAGTTTGAATTTAAAACGGTTTTTTCATCCAATTGACAACAATACAAGTGTAAATTAAAGTGTCAAAAATCAGCGTACAAATCACAAAGTTCTTTCGACAATTATCCTTTCCCTTCCCCTCTTCATATAATAAAAAATTATTTTAAAAAGAATAAAAATTTAAGACCTTAATTGAATAAATAATAATCAAAATTATACATATATATAAAATAAAAAATAAATTTAATACTCAATATTATTAATATAATATACTTTTAAAAATAAATATATTTAAATTTAATTATAAATGTTTCATATAAAATTTTATAATTTAATAAAAAATAGATATTTTTCACAAAATATATGAATGAAAAAGGGAGAAAAGAAAGTTACAAGAATATAATTTAATCATTTTCATAGAAATAGACAATAAGAGATAGAGAAAGATAAATGGAAATAAATATAATCAATAGAAAAAATAAATTTTAATCATACCTCTAATGTACGTAAAAGGAAAAAGGAAAGAAAATTGGGGAAAAAAACTTTTTCTTTTCGTGAATGTCTACCAAAATCTCTTAATTAATGAGAGACAAATTTTGAAATTTCATATGAGTATTTTTTGCTTAAAAATTATTATTTCATAGAACAAAAGTCTTTAAAAGTCATTAAAATTTGAATGCTCTAAAACTTATGGAAACTTTTAAAAAGTTTTAATTGAATATATCGTGACTTTTAGTGACTTCTTAAAAATCTATAAAAATCTCAATTAAAAATATCGATACTTCTAGAGAGTCTCAAAAATTCTACATTGAATACCTTAAATTTTTTAAATCTCAAAAAGTCATTAAAAGTTTCAATTGAGTACACCTCTCAAAGCATTAGAAAAATCTAAATGGCCCAAAGATCCCAATGACTAAAAAATTGGTCACAATCAACATTTTGTGAAATAGAGAGGCTTGCTAAGGTTAAAGCTTATTTTGAAGCATAACTGCACATTGTTCAATCTTCAATGCGCACAAGGCTAGGATGCTTCGAAGGTATGCAGAGACATACATTAAGAAAAATTTATTTTAAGTTACTTTTAAACACAATTAGATGTTGAAATCATTTTTTCTCTTCTGGTTTAAAAATTCTTCTCTATACTGTAATCCTCAATTTGTACAGGGCTAGGCTACTTTGAAAGTATGTAGAGATCTACTTTTGGAAAAAAAAAATTGAATAAAAAATAATAATAATTTTAAGTTACTTTTAAGTTTAGTCAACTGTGCGCCTAACAATTCAATACATAGAAACATGTGCATCCAAATCAAATGTTTAGGCCCTGTTTGGCACCCATTTTTATCAAAATGCATTTTTCTCTCTCTTCTTTTCAACCACACATTCTTTATTAAAATAATATTACACGTAAATCAAAAAAATTTTCTTATTTTTCAACCACACATTTTCCATCAATTTACTATTCAAAAATGTATTTTCACATAAAAATTCCTACCAAACACCCTCTTAATTGCAAACTTGTGTGATTGCAGGTGGTGCAAGTGGGATAGGTTTTGAGACAGCAAGAGTCTTGGCCTTAAGGAATGCACATGTTATTATTGCAGGAAGAAACATGAAGGCTGCAAATGAAGCAAAACAACTCATTCTAAAGGATAACAAAACTGCCCGCCTCGATGCACTGAAACTCGACCTCGCCTCCCTTAAATCCGTCAAGGCCTTTGCCAATAACTTCATCGCTCTTAAACTTCCTCTCAACATCTTAATGTAATTTTAAATCAATGCCCTTGCACAGATTTCAGATAGTAAGGAAATGTTTTTAATAATTTCTTAATTTTTCAGAAACAATGCTGGCATCATGTTCTGTCCCTATCAGCTTTCTGAAGATGGAATAGAGATGCAATTTGCAACAAATCATCTTGGTATGGATCACTAGACAGTACTAAAGACATACTATATTGTACTGTCTAGTCTTTTCGAGTACTACGTATCATAATAGACACATTTCAATCGTTAATTCCCTTATAGGCATTCATTGTTCGTTTTTCTCAGGTCACTTCTACTTGACCAACCTTCTCCTTGACATAATGAAAGAGACGGCAAGGTCTTCTGGCATTGAGGGCAGGATTATAAATTTGACATCAGTAGCACATCTGCACACTTATGATGAAGGGATTCAATTTGATAAGATGAATGAGGAAACCAGGTACTTTCTTATTCAAATCGAAAATATTAGTTAAAAAAAATTGCACCAGTTTATATTCACTACTGTGGCGACATATCAGTTATTTGGACAAGAAAGCGTACGGACAATCCAAATTAGCTAACATATTACATGCCAATGAGCTCTCACGACGTTTGCAGGTACGATCCACTTCTTCATTTATCATCACTCTTCTTCATTTCTGTGCTAAGTTTCGGTTTAAATCTTACAATGTGATGCAGGCTGAGGGAGCAAATATTACTGTTAATTCAGTTCATCCAGGGTTGATAACAACAAATCTCTACAGACATTCTTCTCTATTCATAAGTATGCACTAAAATTTTACCAAATATTCTTTCTTCTTCCTTTCGTTTTTAATTCTGTCGTGTTTACTAATATTTCTTTGCAGAAATTTTGAAGTTCTTGACATATATCCTATGGAAAAGCATCCATCAGGTAAATCACCACGACGTCTCAGTCTCACCACCGCACAATATTTCAGCACGTATTACCTTCGCGGAACCTTTGGTTGCAACACTATTTACATTTCTGTGTAAATTTGGATATTCAGGGGGCAGCCACAACTTGCTATGTCGCACTTCACCCGGCGTTGAAAGGTGTATCGGGAAAATATTTCCTCGACTGCAACGAGTATGAATCGGGCACGTTTGCTAGAGACGAAATTTTAGCCAAGAGGCTCTGGGATTTCAGCAACAAGTTGGTTGATGCAGCTCAAAACAATATGAAAAGTTCTGTTTCCCTGTGAAACCTATGTAATTTCTTGATATTTAAACAAATTATGACCTTGTTTGCATCAGAACACGTTTTTATCCATGATCACGGACCTCATAGTAAGTAAGATCTTTTCAAATATTGTTTAAGAATATTACTGCTTCTCTGCTTCTTGTTTAGAATTCCATAGTCTATGCCTATATATGGTACAAGATGTTAAAAAAAATACAGGAATGGAGAGAATAGAAAAGAAGATGATAATGAAATTCGGCAAAGGCTTAAACACGAAGAATGTATCATTGTCCTCAAATGATATTTACCTCCTTCCAATTTGCTTTTAAGGATTGAAAATGGCAAATAGTTTGCAAAATTAATCAAACTTAAGAAAGAACACCAAAAGCAAAAAATGATCTTCCAAAGAATCCAAACAAACAAGTGAAAATCAAGGAATTTGATTATGTAGAAGGACAAAGTTTCTACAAGATTTTGGATGAACAAGAAATAATTTTCTCATATGATTTTGTATATAATTTCATTGAACTTTGATCACCTATTTATAGGTCTTGATCAATTTACACGAAGTGGTGCCAAAATTGGGATGAAAGGCCACCAAATTCGAACCAAAAACGATCAAAAACGGCCACAACAGTCACATTTTTTATAGTATGTGACCACATGGGCTCGCATAGTTATAACGTTCAGTAGCCACCAAATTTTTGCATTGGTCTAAACTCAAATCAAAGAAGAATTTATAGAATATGTTCTGTACGTAGAATGAAAATACTCAGCAATAAACAAATAAGAATTTAACTTCTTTCATTATAATGTAAAAGAAAAATCAATTTGCCTCTTTTTGTGTGAAAGAGTAGAATTCGGTCAAAAACTAAAAATGATAAATTGTACGAGAATAAATGATAAGAAATACACCGATTTTTACGTGAAAGGCCTTCCGATTCGTTCGACTTACAGTAGTTGATCATCGTCCCCCTCCCACAAGCCCAAAGCTCTAACCGCATAAGCCGTGGTGGTGACAATAACGGCCGCAAAAACCGGTGGAACCACGATATCCATTTTGGATCTTCTGAAAAATTGAACCGGAAAACAAAAATTCTCCCCCGGAATATCCAGTGGTAATCTCAAATACCCTTCTCTGTGACACGCCTGAGAAAAGGTGGAAGTTGGACTAATAGCAGAAACGAAAGCAAACTCCGGCCAGAACGATGCCACAGCCACTGTCAAAGTCAAAATCGTCGTCCACGTGGCAGCGTAGAACATCAGAGGCTCCCTTGAGAACAGCCTTCGGAAAATTGAGTTGATGAAACTGAAATTCATTTCAACAAGTCTGGTGGGAACCTTTAAAACTCTAGCATTTTCATTCAAACTCGTCTAGAAGAACAAATTTCTCAATGCAGAAACTCGAAAAAGGATAACTTTTTTATGATCAAAATACAAGCATGCAAATTATATATATAAAGATGGACCTAATCTCAACTAATTTTGAAAGATTAAAGTTTAGTTGGTTAAGAAAATGTCAAGAGGGAGACAGATCACTAACTCCTTCGTTAGGACTTTGGTTTTGTTGGTTCGAAAAGACTGGAGAATTTCACCTATATTTTGGTCTACGTGGCACAATACATTTTCTTCATTTTTTATAATCTCAGTTTCTTATTATACAAGGACTTGTTAAATTTATTTTCTTCAATAGAAAATAATAATAATAATAATAAAATATTAGAATTCCATTTCATTTTTGCAACACGTTGCCTTCCAAATTCAATCTTGACCCGACTTGAGAACATTATAGTCATTCATATAGAACTATCAGTACTAATGAAAATTTTGCGAAATCGATTTAGCAAGAACCGAACAAGAGAAAACCGTTTTCAATCTTAGATCGGCTCTGGAAATTCGGTCATCGTTGACTGACAATCATGCTATATAGACATAATGGTTAACATAATATTTGACATAATATCACATAACAACCTATCATTCGACTGTTTAAAACACAATCAGCTTTTTCAACTAATCACATCTTGCCAGCAAGCCCAACACCTATTATGTCAACCATTATGTCACTTACTTTCTGACAAAGTAGCATTATTCTTGACTGAAACGTGAGATATGATAACTCGACCTTACAACACCTGTAGATATCCAAAATGCTTTTACATGGTACTATCAAGATCAACATAACAAAAATGTCAATAGACATAAAATACTTGAGAAAATACAGGGTACGGACTAAATCCATGTAGAAATTACAGCTTAAATACCATTACATGACATACTTGACACATAATTGAACATGATTCAACAAAACAAGTGAAAATTTGACAAATTCTATCACCTTGCTCTTCTTTATTTTGCTACATCCTGCGTACCAAACACATCCTAAATAGCTCGGATTCATTTTTCGGGGTTTGTTTTATGTTTTTCATCACCAAGTCAAAACAGGCCTTTCTAGCGCAGGAATAACAAAGGCTTTCAAGAGTTCAATTTGCAAACAGATTACATCAACAAAAGAAAAGGTAAATATCACACTTTGCATGAATAGCATCATTTTTTTATTGGCTGCAGAAAACATTAGCCGTGTTAGAAAACGATGGCCAACAATCAAACCATCGAAAATGGATACTTGTTTTCAGCATGTTTGGGAATATTAACACAGTGATGCAAATCCTTGGATAACGTCACAAAAATCTTGTTTGTGATGTTCAAGATGCATGATATGAAAATGCTTTCTCGAACTGAAGCATGAGAAAAAGAAACCCGGCCAGTGAAATGCAAAGTGCAGCGAACAAGATTATGACCATTGTCTGCAATGAAATAGATGAACTGATAAAGAACACCACTGCAATTGAAGCACTTTGCCAGAGCTTAAGCTGTGCAAATGCTCCTTCCTGCAGCCACCGCAAGTTATAAGATTAGATAGGTAGGGTAAGAAGATATAAAGTACAAGAAGTCAAATGTGGATACAGTTATATGCATCTAAATAACATAGACACTGAAATCTCAGTTAAGTTATATAGCTTCAAGGGACTCACAAACAGCAAACCAAGTCTCATTCCTAATAAATTTGGGATCGACTAAACAAGTCCTTTTTTGTTGCTACGAGAGGTTCATTGTTAGATCTGTTGGAACATTCAAAGCAATTAGATACTCAGCAATCACAATAAGTCATATGAGTTTTGGTCTAGTCTACATCTCCTAACATGTTCTACTCAAACCATCACTCTATAGACAAGAACCTCTCTAAGTCTACGTAAAATATGTCGATCACCTAAGTTGTCATTTTCCTCAATTGGTGCCACCTCCACTTGTTGCATATATTCTCATTTCTTATCTTGTCCATTTTTAATATGACTAGACATCCATCTTAGCCCCTGTTTGACAACCACTATTTGGGGAAAATAGAGTTTTGAATAATGATTTTTAAGAGAATGTGTGGTTAAAAAGTAGAGAAAAATTTTGGATTTTCGTGCAGAATATTTTATTGTATGAATGTGTGGTTGAAAATATGTTCAAAAAAAAAAAAAAAAAAGTTTGAAAATACTGATTGTCAAACTGGGTATGGTACCCTGGTTTTTGGAACGTTTATCTTATGGATATTAACAACCAAACACCAGGCACCATAAATCAATTTCAAGTTACTGGCATCTGGCCAAAGGTGGGGATCAATTATTCAGATGACAATAAACAATGATCTACATCTTTGGCAATCAACAAATACAGGGAAAGAGAGACAAAATCGTCCAAACAATTGTGCTTATGCTGAGAGGTTCATATTGACAAGATGTTTCTAGCATTAAAATGATTACAGGAGATAGAGAAAACTGAGTACCAGGTCATGCTTAAATAGGATTCCAAGCAAAGCACTTAGCTGTGTGTTCAGTACTCCATCGCCAATACCCCACAAGGCCCCTATGAGAAGTGGGTATACTGTGCCAAGCACTCCTCCAGCCACACTAAATAAAGAAGACACAAATGATCATTTTGATAGGCTTCAATTATATGTATGAACTTAGTTCTAAAGGTTCTCTAATATATGAAAAAGGATAGGAAAGTCGACCTGTAGCCCAGCAGAAGCCAAAGCAGTACAATAATCTGAATCAAAGCTCCAGCAGAGACTATTATAGTGATCGATGAAAGACCGAAGGTAAGTCGACCAGCAGCAAGTGAACACTGAGACATGTTCCAAGAGCAAGAGGCAACTGTTAACCAATTACTTGAAGCCACATATATGCAACAAAAAAGCATCCACAACCTTCATATTAAAGATGCCAGAAAATCTACATATGAGTCATGCTCAAAAAAAATAACTTTTTTCTTTAAACATGTTTGGATGACTTGCTCGTTTCTTACTTATAGTTAAAAATAAAAATAAATAAATAATAAATAATTGTATTTAAAGTAATTCACACCTTATCACCAAAATAATTTACTAATTTCCAACTTTGACCAATAAAAATTATTAATTTGAAACTTACTTATTCACTTATAAGTAAACCTTTAAAGCTTAGCCATACATGCTCTAAGTAAGGATAAAGGCAAAATTCGCTGTTCTAATTCTCCAATTCCATAGAAGGGGATATCATATAAATAGTAGTAGTCTCGAGAAGAAGTTGCTGTACATAGGGATTTGCTTAAGGTGAGCAAGACACTTAGAAGAAAATAAATATTTTGAAACCAACTCAAATTAAGAGGAAAATAAATAGCATTGAGTTTGGGACAGATGCATGTAAAGAGGCACAATCAAATTAATTTGACTGACAAATAACTAATTGTTATCATATCAAAATTTGCTACTCACTATAGCATCAAAAACCCCGTAAACAGCCATTGCACCACCAACACCACGCTCGCCAAGTGAAGGCTTGACAATTTGCTTCGTGTATTCAGCCCTGTATGGGAAAAAAAAAAGAATCCCCTCAATTGCAGAAACAGAAATATAGCATTGAACCCGGTCTAAACAACATAAGTACTTAGATCATAATTCTGGGGCATTCTTTACCATACAAATGCTTGCTGTAAGCCTGAATATGCAATAAGCGGGATGATCAAGAGGATTCTTATGTCGAGTAATAGATTCAACATTGCCTTCAGCAAAGACACCACCGAAGAAGAAAAAGTGACACGAGAATCTTGCATTTGTTCCTCCTTACCATTTCTCTTACTTAAGAAGCACATAAGAATAGTACCTAAGGTCATGCTACAAAGGAATACAATGAAGAGTAAAGTTGTGCCGCTGGTACTTCCTCCCTGCAATCATATCACCAAACCCATCAGCACTTACTAAATAAATAGTTGTGTCTTTTGTACGTATATGAGTATACAAAATCCGGACATCACTCAAAAATTGCAGTTTTTATTTTTTGGCATAACAATGCACGCGAACCATTTCAGGACATCCAATCAACTACTGTCATTATATAGTTAAGCACATCAATGTGGAAAGCTTTATTAAATAAATCACTAGTTGACTACGCAGCCAACCCCCCCTCACTTATAAATATGGTGAAGGATCCTTCTCTTTCTCCCTTTTTCAGTTCTCAAACTTAAAAGTGATAATAAAAACTAGAAAGCACAAGTTTTATCTTACTTCTAAGTGATGCCTTAGAGTGCATAAAACCAAAGAAGACAGAATCATTTGTTGCGTCCGTTAATTATAACTTCAAAGTGTTGAACAATGCTGTACAGAATCGTAGACGAAGGAAAGTGAAGTAATTTATTAATCTATTTCTTCATTCATTCATATCGAAATAACAATGATATAGCCCCTGTTTGGCCCTTATTTTCTCAAATTCATTTACAACCACACATTTTATGGGATCCATAACTTTTGTCTAACTTTTAACCACACATTTCATTAACTCTTATCAAAATTAACTAAAAATCTGATTTTTATCTAAATCAAACAGGGGCATAATGTATATAAGAGATATGTAACAACTTTTTACTACAAAAAGGTAAATATTGATAATATAAAACATAGCTTCCAACAAGTTTACATACCTTCTCATCTCTTAACAAGGCCAGAGTGATGAGGTTGCCGACAAGCTGCAATATGCAATGCGAAATAGTAACCTTTTTTTTTTTTTTTTTTTTTTTTTGGGGGGGAAATTCAAGCATCACCCTATTTCATTGTCTCATTTATCAAAATGGAATCACAAAAAAACAAATTTAGAGTTTGAAACACACACACACAGAGATAAACTTGTAGGTCGAGTAATGGAAATAATTAAACAAGTTGAATCCTTGACTTGAAAGAAACGTGTAAAAAAATGGTTTTAGCCAAATCACTATTAAGTCGAGCAGCATGACTGTGAGCTGTGGAAGTAAGATACGTCCCCTGACAGTAGACACAAAGGTAAGAGTAAAACATAATAGCTCAATTGGACTGACCATTTAATGCTGAGATGTTGAAACAACATGTTGAACCTGTGCAACCCATATTATTGAAGCAGCAAATCCAAGGTACAAAGATGCTGGCACCATAGTATACCTAAAATATAAATCGAGAAATACTCCAGTGTGAAAATAGATTCATCGGACAATAATGCGAGCATAAAATCAGATTATTCCATTTATTCTTAGAAGCTAGATTTAGATTCATACGTATTGGCATCAGCAAACCAAAAAACCAATACGGAAAGTAGTTGCCTTGCAAGAATTTCAAAAATCCAACATAAATATGAAAAGTTGAACAGCCTGAATATTAATTAATAACAATGTCTGGAATATGGACGTTTTAACTCATTAAACAATCAGTGTTACAATTTTCAAAGTAATGCAAAACCAAACCAGAAGAAAAGAAAATGTGATGGCAGAATGACATATAATCACCTAGAGACAGAATGAATTTAGGTTCATCCAAATCATAGTTACCCATATTTAAAGCAACTTAATATAGCTACACTGAAGTGAGAACATTATAAAACCCATTGGTTTCCCTTCTCGTGCAAAATAACTTGAAAAGCATCGCTGTTTAACTTTGAATGGAAGTGTCATCGAGCATTAGACTCTACAACATCCTGAGCATTAGACTACAACATCCTGAACACTGAAATTTATGGACGACAACAATTTATACATGCCCATTGAGTAGGTCAATTATTCAAGGTAAACTTATTTTCAATGACATCTTTTCAAAGATCATCCATATTAACTGCAAAAACATGCCGGGACCCCAAAGTCAGCTGCGGTACAATTTTCTAAAATCAATCCAAGTAAAGCTTAATTGTAGTGATCATACTAAACGAAAGGACCATACCAAGTAGGCTTCAAATTTGCAGCTATGAACAGCAAATATCCAGTTGTACCAAGAATTAGAGCAGTCTTTGAGCCAAGCTTCTTCACCACCAATGAAGCTAACACAGAAAAGAATGTAAAGGACACGTATAAAATCCCCAGTGATATGGTCCCCAAATCTCCTTCCTAGGAAAATCAAATAATACTTAATCAGGAATTGATTTGTGTGTCAATTTTACATGCAATTTGGTGTCGAACCAACTCGTGATTTCACCCTCATCTGCACACTTTAAGACTAATCCCAAATTGTAAAATTTCCCATCTTTTACAACGAAATGAAATAATAATCAGAAAAGTATGAAAAAAATAATCCGGAACTCACGGTATTGATAGTGCTCTCTAAGTTTTGGGCAGCCCCATAAGCCAAGAAAATCAGCAGGAAAGCCCAACATAAAATATGAACATCTTTCTTGTGGTTTAAGGTTGGAGTTGGAGGGGTTTCAATGAGAAGTGGGGTTTCTTCATCCGTAGCCATCGAAGAACAAAATACTCTGTTCAATCAGTCAAATAATAACACCCACATGTAAAGACACATATATACACTAATTGGAAAGAGGAGAATTTGAGCCGGCGAGAGTGAAGTTAAGAAAAAGACATAGAGAAGAGGGTTGTGTTTTCACTGTTTCTTATATTTGAGGGCAACCAGCGAAGATTCTGAATCTCAAGAAAAGACAGGTTCAGCCGGCCATTAATTATAGAGACTGGACTGTTTTCCGAGTTCTCTGTTTGGGATGATGTTGACTTTTTGTTGCTTGGTTCTTGTTTCGTTTGATTTTTCTAAAGAGGAAATTACAAAAAAATAAAAATAAATTGTTCATTTCGACATAATCAATTGTAAAAATGTCTAAAATTTTTTAATGTCCATTTTTACAATTATTTGGACGAGAGTATCCCTAAGTAGCTACTCAAGCTACATTAAAATGATGTTCTCGATATTTCAAATATCTTTCTTGATATTTGAATTTTTTTATATTTCAAAATTGCACATGTCAAATCACAATATTAAATGTTCTCAATATTTCAAATGTTGTTCTCGACATATTAAATGTCTAAAATGACATTTCATTTCGAACATGACATTTCTCTATACTTTAGATGTTATTCTCAATATTTTTGTGTCTAGCATTAATTGTGATTTGATATGTGCAATATGAAATTATTTACTCTTTCATTAAGAGTAAAATAGAGAATTTGGAATCAAAAATGGCATTTTGCAAAGATTATCAAAAGTAGATATTTTTGAGTTGATATATGTAAAATTGAGCATATAAGACCTCTTTTCTATTGGATTTGCTTTCAAATTTTATCAAAATAAACCTGCTCCATTTTTAACAAATTCCCTACTTTACCTCCATTTTTTTTAAATATATTTTTCCTCAAACTCATTTTTAAACATGTGAATTTACAATAAAATAATTGTACATGTAAATTCAAAATTTTTACTGACCTTTTAATTACGCATTTTTTAAAACCCACTATTACACAATCTGATTTTTCTAAAATAGTGGTGCTATGTGTACAACCGGGGTTGACAACTTCGGTTGACAATTAGATACATGGGAGGGGGCTCAAGTTGAATAAAAAAATCGTGTTCCCCACTCCTGTGAGTGCATTGTCAATCGGGTTGTCAACTACAATTGTACAATAAGAATAATTCTTTCTAAAAAATGGAGCTCAAACTCACTTAAAGTAGAAAAAGGGAAAAAATTCGACCCATGTTGTAAAATACAAACTTAAGAAGTAGATGCACAATTCTGATTTTCATAGTCGTGCTTGATATACTCTATGAACTGAGCCGGTCCAAAATTATAATTGCAATGTCATAATCTTTCGTCAAAATATTCGTGTATATATTTGAATGTGATGCTACCAAAAATAGTACTTGAACGATCTCGAACTTGATGATTAAACTTCGATCTTGGATGAACATGAACGATCTTCGAATACCTGAAACAAAGACAATGATGTGTGTGCTCGTCACCCCTCCAATGCTTAAGTCAGGTAGGGAATTTAGTGTGTGAAGCTATAAACTGGAACTATGAAAAACATACCTCAAGAATAAGCTCGAGTTATGTATTTATAGGTGCTGATGATAAAGTCCTAGAGGGACTTATCCACGTGTGATCCTTATCCACATAGGATAAGGAGTTAGTGTTTCGTTCCAAGTATTCAACCACTATTTGAGTCGAAGAAGGAGTCAAATAGGATAAGGATTGTGGTTTGAGTAGAATTAGTGCTCTCATAGGTTGTCAAGAAGGACTGACGAGTAGACATACAAACCCGACCTTGATTTTGTGGTTTTGGGGGACATCAAGTTCGGGGTTCATGGGTTGAGTTTGGGATTCACTAGATCTGAAGTCATCACAGGCCCCCGTGCATCGAGGTCGTAGATTTTCGTCCAAGCATGATCTGCGAGCGAAGATGTAGAGGCATAAATATCCAGGTGTCTTTCCACGTGTCAGACGTTCGATGGGATGACAGAGAACGATCTTAGATGGCTACCACATGCAATGTCAGATCACAAGCTTAAATGGCCGCCACGTGTCTTCGTTCAAAGGCCAGGATTAATAGACCGTTGACATTCCAAAGACCCTTATAAATAGTCCCCACATTTCACTTTCACTTTTCACTCTCCAGTAAAAGAAAGCTCGAGCTCGAGGATAGTGGGTTGGTGAGCAATCATCCAAAAAAGTAATGGGGTGTTCTCTTTGTGTTTCAGTTTTATGTTTTGAGTTTTAAATTCATTTTGAGTTTTGTATTTTGAGTGTTTGTTTTGAAATTGTTGAAAATGCGTTCTTTTTGTTAGTTTCTCAAAAAAAAAAAATCAAAATTTTTTTTTTTTTGAAATTTTGAGAATCACCATACCCCCTCCGAAAAAAAAAAAAAAAGGTGTTTCCCGCGTTTTCAGTTTTTTCAAGTTTTACACTGAAAACGCCCAAACGACAAAAAAGTCGTTTTGTGTTTTCTTCACAAATTTTTTTTTCGTTTTCCAAAAAAAAAAAAAAAAAAGGTGTTTCCCGCGTTTTCAGTTTTTTCAAGTTTTACACTGAAAACGCCCAAACGACAAAAAAGTCGTTTTGTGTTTTCTTCACAAATTTTTTTTTCGTTTTCGAAAATTCGTTTTCGAAAACGGGAAAGAGAACACGTTTTCACCGTTTTGAAAAATCGAAAACAGAAAACGGCCCGAAAACGGTAAAGAGAACAGGGCCTTTAAGTTTTAATTATTTGATTTAGTATTATGTCGAGTAGTAGTAGCAGTAGTAAAGGGTCGAGTAAGAGTGATAGTAGCTGTCCATCCAGAGCCTCGAACTGTAGTGATAAACCTGAGGACGTAGGTACATCCCTAATCCCCATGGCCATTCCTGTTAGTTCTCACATTGGTCTACCCCAAAGAACCGACCTAGTATAAGGAACATGTGATTATTAAGATAGCGAGAGAGTTCGAGGTTATGCCCATTTGTGATGTGAGAGCCCCAGGGCCTATTGAGACCGTGTTAGGAGCTCGAGAGGGAGAGATAACCTTTTTTGGAGATGCTCTTAAGGCCAGGCTTAGGTGGCCCCTTCACCGGTTTTTCATCCATTTCCTGACCTCGTACTATTTATGCCCTGGCCAACTAGCCCCGAATGGTTGGAGGTTGCTAGTATATTTCTTTATATTATGTAGATGTCTCGAGATCGAGCCCAGACTCGATCTCTTATGAATGGTCTTTGATATGAAATTCTCCCCGAGGTATAACTGTTTCATTTACTTATCCACGAAGGGGGGTTTAGAACACCTGAGACCCCGAGCTCTCTTTAAGGTTGGAAAAAACGATTCTTTTTTTGTAAAGCCTCAAGACCCCGACCATCCTTTGGCAAAGAAGATCGACTATCTACTCGAGGATGACATCCTCGACCTTGCCAATGTGAAAGGCCTCGAGGGTATGATTTTTCTCTTTTCTTTTCTTTTCTTTTTTTTTTTGTTGTAATCTTGTAATTTCATGTCTAAGCATCGATCTATAGTTCGAGCTAATGCCTTTGTTGTTGCTGTTTGCAGAACTTGAAATGTCTTTCGATCCATCCGCACTCTTGGATAATGTTCATCACAAGGCCCCGACCTCAACCCAATCGAAGGGGAAGAAGCAGGTAAGGGAGGTCGTGCGTCCTGCCCCTATGGGTCAAGATCAGAGCTCATGAAGCCCGACATCTCCCAGCCAGCCAATGCCACAGAAGCCAGCTCGGGTCCGTACTCCTTGTTTTGGGCCGGACCTCCTAGCCGATGATGACAACCCTATGCCCACGAAGTTGCTCGAGGAGTATGCTGATTGTGCTCTTATCCAGAAAATAGTTGACAAGTATGAGAAAGAGGTCGATTCTCATGAAGGGGTTCGAACCCTCGAGCTCCTTACTTTGAATGTTTGTTTTTAATATGGTTGTTTTTGTCTCCTTTGAAAAGTTTTTGTTTCGTCCTGACGTCAGTGTGATACTTGTTTTTTGCAGATTTTAAGCATGGCTCGAGGTCTGGGGCTCAAGGGGATAAATACCTCGAATCAAATAGCCGAGCTCGAGGCCAAAAGCGAGGCTGCGCATAAGAGGGCTCTCGACCTTGAAAAGGCCCTAGAGGCGGCTCCTGCTGACCTTAAGAAGGCCCAAGGCGAGGTTGGGACTGCGAAAGATGAAGCTGAGGAGGCAAAGCTCGAGCTCATTCAGTGTCTAAATACTTTTGAAAATGAACTGGTGAGGGCCGGAGAAGAGGCTCGACCTCAGGCTGTTGAAGATTTCAAACAATCCAACGAGTTCAAGACCCTTCTTGGTCAGTACGGGGCTGGACCATATCATTATGGCTTGCGGCTTGCTCGTTCTTTTCTTCGGACCAAACTTCGTGAGGATTTGAAGCCTATGGTCGAGGAGCTACGAACGGTGAATGAACTGGCCAAGGACCTTGAGCTTTCTGCCTCAAAGGTCAATGATGAAGAAGATGGTGATGGAGGGGACGATGTTGGGACCCCTGATCGGTTTCTTTTGTTGTTGTTGTTGTTGTTGTTATTATTATTATTATTATTGCTATATACATTGCCCGACCTGGGCTTATGAACTTTTGACTTCTAAATGTAAAATATATTGCCCGAACTAGGCTTCGATCTTTGAGGGGCTTTTTGTTATTAGTCATGCATCTTGTTTTTGCTGTGAAATCGTGCGTGGGTTTTGTGTTCGTGTGTGTGTGTGTGTTATGATTTTGAATTCTAGCTGTTATAATTGTTAAGAGCTCGATCATATGTCACAAAAAATTAACTCGATTGTTAACATATATAGCCTGGGTGTGAGTAATAATTCGAGGATATAGTATGGCTTAATAATACTTAACGTCAAGACTATGAAAAATTGGGCTTCGACGTTGAAGCTCGAGGATGTATTTTCAGGCTTCGAATAGGAATGTTGGGCAAGGGTGAACGAGATCAAGTATCGGTATTGCGCGCGGTAATTTTTAACTTCGCATATCGAGGGACAACTATTGGGTCGCTGATGATTTAAAGGATAAGCTCGGGCTTGTCCCTTGTAATTTAAACAACTTCTTTCCTTTGTGGATAAGATGGGTATGGTCTTGTATGATAATCTTTATATCATACCCCGACCTCGACCTTGATATTCTTTGTTATGAGGACACTCTGGGATCAATGAGGTCGAGCCTGATGATCCCGACCTACTGCCATTTGAGGTCTTGGCAGCTTGTGTTTGGTTCTATTAGTCGAGTGTC